CCAAAGAAAAAAAAGGTTGACAAACATTTCCAGCTGTTTCTTGTAAAACATAGAGAACTGAGGAATTGTTTCCACAATAACAACCAGACAATTGGTTTCTTGTCAATGTTCAACTGGCCACACCCTGACAAACGATTTTAATACAAAAGCTTTTTTCCCCATGAGTCCCCTTGGACAACACATCCATTTTTATTTATCTGAAGTGAAGAGTCCTGCCTTATCCTCGATGATGTCACAACATCCTTAAAAGATTCACTCATTTTCTGGGTTGATTCAAACTACAGTCGTCATAGCCGAGTGGGGAGAGACAACAAGGACGTAAGAATACAACAGAAGCAATGAAAGAATATATTACTTGTATTTGTGTTTATTTTCTGCTCAATGATTAAAAACAAATTATATACTGAAGTATTATAGTGTAAATGCACAGTTGATAGTTTTGAGTGGCTAACTGTTACAGTATACCGTGATCACTTCTTTAGTTGTTCTGTCACTGACTGTTCTGACTTTTCTTGTGACATTAAACGGTTGGAGATTTTAACTTGCTTTTGTATTAGGATGATGGAAAACTACACGTACAACAGTTTCACACTCCAAGTGGAGGGGCTTCTTCTTTCTGAAGAAATGACATATCCAACGTTCCTGATCTTCTTGTTCTCCTACATTTTCATAATTGTTACTAATGTAGGAATTGTGGTTCTGATTTTTGTGGACAAAAGTCTTCATCAGCCAATGTACTTGCTTTTTTCCAACCTACCACTAAATGACATTCTGGGAAATTCTATCCTAGTGCCTCGTTTGCTGCTAGACATTTTGCGACCCTCCTCTGAACGACTCATCAGTTATTATGAATGTGTGGTTCAAGCTTTCACCACACACATGTATGGCACTACCACTCACACCATTCTCATCATTATGGCATTTGACAGATACGTGGCCATCTGTCAACCACTGCGTTATGCTTCCATAATGACCAACAGAATGGTGATCAAGCTGACGGTCTCTGCCTGGGGGGTGGCCTTAGTCTTAGTGTCTGTTTTACTTGGTTTGACTGTAAGACTCAGCAGATGCAGGACTTTGATCAAAGGGTCCTACTGTGACAATGCTTCACTGTTTAAACTCTCCTGTGACAGTGTGGTCATAAATAATGTCTATGGCCTCACCTTCACTGTGGCTCTGTTCACAGCTTCTATTGGCAGCATTGTTTTTACCTACACTAGAATCACTATAGTCTGTCTAACCAGTAAGAACAAGTCACTGAACAGTAAGGCCCTGCAGACTTGTAGCACTCACCTGGTGCTGTTTCTAATTTTAGAGTTCACAGGACTCTCTAACATTGTTCTCCATCGCTTCCCTGAGACGACAGAGTACAGAAAACTCATGGCCATTCTCTTTCATATTGTACCTGGCAGCCTCAACCCAGTTATATATGGAGTACAGTCGAAAGAAATGAAAAGGTTTCTGTCAAAACTATTTAAAAAGGCTTTATGTTCACAACGAAGTTGATACAAGATTTATTTGTTATTCTTTTAATCATGTTTCCACTTCTCTCATGTTTGGAAAATGACTAAATATTTTTGCTAAAATTACATTATTAGTTCTCATCATACTTTCAGTAAATTGTAATCATAAATGCCTGGCTATCTACAGACTAAACACTTAACAACCAGGTCATATGAATTATATTGTTTTAGGTAAGATGTCATTTAACTAGAAGGAACCTTAATCAGCAGCAATAATTATTATACAATTTAGAAATAATTTACATTACACAAAGATTTTCTTTAACTCTTCCAAGAAGTTGAACATTAGCTGTATTAGCTCATCGGGACAAGGCTAGCCAACTTATATCTGGGGTCAGTGGGTTGTAACCTCACAGTGGTCAGCAAAAAACCTACAGCAGGACTTGGAAGGAGCAGGAACTCAGGTTTCAGATTCTACAGTGGGCACGAGATAAATCATGAGGCCTCCACACCAACACTGCTACTACACAAATGTGTTGGGAGAATCTCTTGTGGAGTAAGAAAAGATATATTTTTGCTTCCGATAGACCTAGGTGTGCTTTTTTTTTTTTTTTTTAAAAAAAATATTTTTTTAAAAAAAAAAAAAAAACCACAGCTAGTCGGAAGGAAAAAAAAAAATTTTTTTTTTTCCTTCCGACTAGCTGTGGTTTTTTTTTTTTTTTTAAAATAAAATATGTATTTAATACAATTTACACTATATTGTGGCCTACAGGACTGTGGGCTGGGGGCGTGGTTACGGTACTTATGTTTTGGTGCGCTGAGTCGTTAGACAGTTGAGTTGTTCTGTGCTCTGGCAATAAAGTGTTCAAACCCACTCTCGATTCCTGCTCTTTCTTTGTCCTGCTACATTGGTGACCCCAACTTGAACATGTTCGAAGATGCAGAGGATCGTGTCTCCTCTTCAAGCATGTCAGCTGAACATTAGCTGTCGGTCGTTTTGCAGCGGCCGGGATGCTTCCCGAATTCTGGCAGAACGACCCTGCTTCATGGTTCCAACACATTGAAGTACTGTTTCACGTGCGTGGAATCACTGCGGACAACCCGAGGCACTACATGGTTGTCGCAGCCCTCGACCAGCAGTCCACACGCCGGGTCATGCAGTTGTTGCGGTCCCCACCATTACACGGGAAATACGGCACTTTCAAGCAGCTGTTACTACGGAGGTACAGTTTGTCTGCCTCGGAGAGGGCAGACAAGCTCCTTTCCCTGCCCGGGTTAGGTGATGGCCGTGCAGCGATTTCCGCCGTTTGAATAACGTCACTACACATGATCGTTATCCTATACCGCACATACAGGACTTTTCCGTCCGCCTGGCAGGTGCCACTATTTTTTCAAAGGTAGACCTGGTGCCTGGTTATCACCAGGTACCCGTACGTGCAGAAGACGTGACTAAGACCGCGGCCATTACCCCATTTGGGCTTTTCAAATTCTTACGTATGCCTTTTGGCCTGAAGGGGGCAGCGCAAAGTTTTCAGAGGCCGATGGACTCGGTGTTACGTGGCCTCGAGTTCGTGTTCGTTTATCTGGATGACATTTTGGTTGCCAGTGCATCCGCAGACGAGCACCAATCACATCTGAAACAGGTTTTCCGACGCCTTGAGGAACATGGCTTGATTGTCAACACCGCAAAGTGCCATTTGGGATTGCCGGTGATCGATTTCTCAGGCCACCACATTTCGTCACAAGGTGCGGTCTCTTTGTCCTCTAAGGTGCAGGCAAGTGAATTCTTGCCCAAAGATTCCGTACCGCAGCGGCAACCAGCTACCAAGCTTGTTTTGTTTGATAATGCTCTCGCTCCGGGTCCTGTCCACCACTGTTTTCAAAAATTGTTCGCCCCTGCAGAACTCAAGTCGGCTAGTTTTGTTTTTGTGTGTCACGATTCTCACCGCTCTCCCCTACAACCTCCTTACGATGGACCTTTTCGCATGCTTGAGACAGGTTCTAAGCATTTCGTTCTGGAAATGGGTAGGCGTAGAGAACGGGTTACAGTAGATAGGCTTAAACCAGCACACATGGTAGCAGACGAAGCTATGCTTCCGGTCCAGGTTCCCCGCAGGGGTCGTACTCCTTCAAAGAATCCGGTTGTTTCTTCACCTGTTGTTTGTCCTAAGTTAAGGTACAGCCGTTATGGCAGACTGATTAAGCCTGTGCTAGAAAACTGATTTCTGTATTGGGAGTCCCTTCTGGGTGTTCGGGGGGTGGGGGGCTGTGTAGCAGGCACTGCAAGGGATGCCTCTCACCCTACAGGACTGTGGGCTGGGGGTATGGGTACGGTACTTCTGTTTTGGCACGCCGAGTCGTTAGACAGTTGAGTTGTTTTGTGCTCTGGGAATAAAGTGTTCAAACCCACTCTCGATTCCTGCACTTTCTTCGTCCTGCTACACTGTGTCCCTTTGCTGTGCTAACAAAAGAGCAGCCAACCCAAACAGGTTGGTGTTCACGGTTTGGTGTTATAGACAATCAAAAGTTAGGAGAACTATAATCTAGTGTGTACTTGTGTCCTAAGTACTCATTGTGATATTTCACAACATTCTTCCATCCTGATTGGAAAATTCCCAAAGAAAAAAAAGGTTGACAAACATTTCCAGCTGTTTCTTGTAAAACATAGAGAACTGAGGAATTGTTTCCACAATAACAACCAGACAATTGGTTTCTTGTCAATGTTCAACTGGCCACACCCTGACAAACGATTTTAATACAAAAGCTTTTTTCCCCATGAGTCCCCTTGGACAACACATCCATTTTTATTTATCTGAAGTGAAGAGTCCTGCCTTATCCTCGATGATGTCACAACATCCTTAAAAGATTCACTCATTTTCTGGGTTGATTCAAACTACAGTCGTCATAGCCGAGTGGGGAGAGACAACAAGGACGTAAGAATACAACAGAAGCAATGAAAGAATATATTACTTGTATTTGTGTTTATTTTCTGCTCAATGATTAAAAACAAATTATATACTGAAGTATTATAGTGTAAATGCACAGTTGATAGTTTTGAGTGGCTAACTGTTACAGTATACCGTGATCACTTCTTTAGTTGTTCTGTCACTGACTGTTCTGACTTTTCTTGTGACATTAAACGGTTGGAGATTTTAACTTGCTTTTGTATTAGGATGATGGAAAACTACACGTACAACAGTTTCACACTCCAAGTGGAGGGGCTTCTTCTTTCTGAAGAAATGACATATCCAACGTTCCTGATCTTCTTGTTCTCCTACATTTTCATAATTGTTACTAATGTAGGAATTGTGGTTCTGATTTTTGTGGACAAAAGTCTTCATCAGCCAATGTACTTGCTTTTTTCCAACCTACCACTAAATGACATTCTGGGAAATTCTATCCTAGTGCCTCGTTTGCTGCTAGACATTTTGCGACCCTCCTCTGAACGACTCATCAGTTATTATGAATGTGTGGTTCAAGCTTTCACCACACACATGTATGGCACTACCACTCACACCATTCTCATCATTATGGCATTTGACAGATACGTGGCCATCTGTCAACCACTGCGTTATGCTTCCATAATGACCAACAGAATGGTGATCAAGCTGACGGTCTCTGCCTGGGGGGTGGCCTTAGTCTTAGTGTCTGTTTTACTTGGTTTGACTGTAAGACTCAGCAGATGCAGGACTTTGATCAAAGGGTCCTACTGTGACAATGCTTCACTGTTTAAACTCTCCTGTGACAGTGTGGTCATAAATAATGTCTATGGCCTCACCTTCACTGTGGCTCTGTTCACAGCTTCTATTGGCAGCATTGTTTTTACCTACACTAGAATCACTATAGTCTGTCTAACCAGTAAGAACAAGTCACTGAACAGTAAGGCCCTGCAGACTTGTAGCACTCACCTGGTGCTGTTTCTAATTATGGTGTTTTGTGGACTGTCCAACATTGTTCTCCATCGCTTCCCTGAGACGACAGAGTACAGAAAACTCATGGCCATTCTGTTTCACATTATTACCGGCAGCCTCAACCCAGTTATATATGGACTACAGTCGAAAGAAATAAGAAAGTTTCTGTCACAACTGTTTGAGTCCAAAAAAGGTTAATTCAATAATATTATACAAAACTATGTTTGGAGAATGTCTATTACATAGAGTGGGAAAAGACTGAAGTCATGTATAATGATGAGATTATATAAATGTTGTAAGGAGTAACACTTGGAATAAAGTATGAAGAAAATATTGCTGCTGAAGTCTAACTGTGGCTGAAGTTTACCAGTTACTACTCATAGTAATCTTCCTATGAGAAGTAACTGTTAAATATTTTCATCATTATCGTTAAATATGTTAAATATTATGATTTACCTTCAACATACTGTACTTACAAAAGCAGAACTATTTAAGGTGGACGTAACATTAGCTACTGAAACACAAGGCCAAAATCCATTTGATTTCGTGTGGAACACAACTGCAGTTGCCAACAAAAATAACTATCTATTACCACAAGGTTTTAGCAGTTACTGTCACTTTCAATAGTGGCTCACATGGGACTTGTTACTGAATATGACTCTACATCTGCTGTATTAGCTGCTGATCTTAGCCAGGACAATGCTAATGCTGCTTCAAAGTGCTCACAAGTTATGTTGAAAATGAACATTAACTCCTATGAATGTCTAAACAAACATATTTACTCCTTATTAAGATTTATTCATCTTTAAAAGTATTCGGTCTACGTATATAGTTTTATGTACCATTTGTCTCTGATGCATCT